GTATTTTCAGTAGAGACGGGGTTTCACCATGTTGGCCAGGTTGGTCTAGGACTCCTGACTTCAAGTGATTCGCCCACCTCAGCCTTCCAAAGTTCTGAGATTACAGGTATGAGCCACCATGCCCAGCCCTGATTTTCAATTTCTAGGTCCACTTTACTAATATTATTATTCATTGGTTCAGAAGTCACTCTTAATTTGTTTTAGGAAGGAGCAAGGTAAGCCAAATAAACAAACTCCCTGGAAACTTGTTTATATTCCATCAACATAGCTCACTGTCTAGCTCTTCCTAAGCAAGCTCATCAGAACTATCCACTGCTGAAAGCTCTTAGGATATGTACTTTTTTCCTAGGTTTTATTTGGTATTCAGAGGCCACAGGAAAATTATATCCATTAAAGAACAGACACTGCTTGGTGGCCATGCCAGCTGACACATCACCACCATCTCCTCTGGGAGATGTTTTACCTTAAAGCACAAACACTGTGTTTCATCCTGATATAGGGCCTGTAGTTAGAAAGTGATTGTTATCATTTTCTATTCATGTGTTCTCATCAGAAAAAAAAGTACATTCCCTTATAATTCTCTATCACAGACAACTTCAAATCACCTAATGTATGTCCCTTTAAATCACTGAACCAGCGGCTTTTGTAAAGACTATTGATTTTTATCCTGAATAAATTATTTTATAAGATAGAAGACAAAAGGAGAAGAACCAGGAGATTCAACAATTCCCTCTGGTTTTATTTAAAGGAAGAAATATTCTCTTCCCTCTAATAAGAACACATCACTTTTCCTTTCCTGCCCCTGCCTTTCATGTTGTGAAAATCAGATAAGATACAAACAATCCCAAACCCTGAAAAACACTAGAAGGTTCTCAAGAAAATCAATTCTTATTTTAGTACATAGGAAGGCTTTCTGACACATGGTTTGGTGACACATTCATTTATTAATTTCTTTCAGTAAATATTTATCAAGCATCTACTATGTGGCAGGAACTAGACAAGGCATAGACTCTGCCTGCCCCTTTCCTATACAATGTCATTTTGGGGAGCACAAAGGGTTTTGTTCAGAGCTGCTTTCCAGCTAGCATGCCGCAGTATGGCTGTGCTAGTTCTTCAAATGGTAAAAATTCTTGTACCTCAAGTCCCCTCCGCGTCCCCCTACTGACTGATCTCTTCTCCAGCACCCTAGACCCTCTGCATGGATTTACCTCTGACCCAGCTGGGACCCCAGGGCATGGCCCAGCACTGTGGCCCTCAGCCCTTCCACGGGCTAGTGCTGCTGGGTACCAGTTGATAGGCATTTTTAACAGATCCTCCTCATTTCAGGACTGGCCTACAGACCTAATAGTGGACTCGCATTCACCACCTCACCCATTTCTTCCCATGTTCTCATACCAACTCCTCCCCTGGCAGAGACACAACAAGCCCTGCAGGAGAAAGGAGAACTCTCCCTTTACCTCTCAAGAGGGTCAGGGTCTCAGTGTCTCCATTTTACTATCACCAATCAAGACCAGTTGGAGGTTCTGCCTTCCTCCCACCCAAGGTGATGTTCACAGTGTCCACTTTGTCAGCAGTATCAAGCAAGTGAAGAGTGTCCTTCCTCTTATTACTGTGGCAAATGTAGAATCATCATAGGGAATCTGTTTAAAACAAAAATGTGCAATGAAGAAAGAGCAACTGTGGGTGACTAGGCAATCCACACCGGCATTTGAAAATCATTAAAACTAGTCACTAGAATGCTGCCTGGGCAGGATTCCAAACAGGGGAACTGCAGGGTGAGAGTGACAGATGCCAAATCCGAGCCTAGTTTCTGCAATGATTATGCAAAGCACTGGCCTTTCATGCTTTGCTGGTAATGCACTCATTTCTCCAACTTCCAGCACACTAAATGCAAGTGTGGCTTAATGATGGCAACTGGATTGAAAGGTAATTGGGAGCTGAAAATAAAGACTTTGCCTCATTATCATAATTCTCTACCAGAAATGTTTGTTATGTCAAAAAGCACTTTTCCCTGGGCACCAGTTTAAAGGAACAGCCATTAAGATTTTAAGGGTGTAAGCATTAACAGTGTTTTTAAGTCATGAATGCTAGGCTTATAAAAAATAGATAAGAGGGACGTTGGATAACTGAACATACTTCAGGCAAATAAGATGTGAGAGCAGTAAGCTCAAGCCATGAGTCTATTCTGCTCACCTGATTCCCCTCTGATATTATTTTTTCTACTCCTCCCATTTCCTTTCCATCTCCAATGCCCCTTCCCCTACCTCAGGTACCCCCACCATACCTTGCATAATCTCTTATAAGAGGCAAGGTGTGTTGAAGAAAGAAACAAAAGCCTTCAACATTTCTTCTCTTCTGCCAGTTTCACACGTCTGACCAGCCCATGGGGATACCTTGGGGATGATGGTGATGATGGTGGTAATCATGACAGCAACTACTATTATGAATCTGCTTTGTTCCAAACATGTTAAGAATATATTCTCCCTGTTGAACAATGAGAACACATGGACACAGGGAAGGAAACATCACACACTAGGGCCTGTCGGGGGGTGGAGGGTAAGGGGAGGGAGAACATTAGGACAAATACCTAATATATGCAGGACGTAAAACCTAGATAACAGGTTGATGGGTGCAGCAAACCAGCATGGCATGTGTATACCTAGGTAACAAACCTGCACATTCTGCACGTATATCCTAGAACTTAAAATAAGATTTAAAAAATAAAATTATATATATAATATACATTATATATAATTTATATCATTTTATTTCATATTTTTAATGTATATAATTTATGTATAAATATATTTATGTTTTATATATAATATATATGAAATATATAAAATATATAAAAACATAAAATAATATTTTATATATTTAATGTCATATATAATATACACATTTTATATAATTCTCCCTTATTTTCACAAGAAGTCAATAAGGGATAAATACTTTTAAAACCATTTTTGTTGTTGTAAATAACATAAAATATGGCTAACAGCAGCTTCCATGAATAGGGGTCTATTTTCTCGCATAACAAGGAATATGAATGAAGTCAGTTCCAGGGAAGCTTTGGGGGGACTCGATGATGGCGGCACACAGGGTTGGCATCTCTGTGACTCTCTTGGTCTTCCTCATAGTCATGAAATGGCTGCAGCAGTACCAAGCATCACATCTTAGCACGGCTGCATTCACAGCAGAGCGCAGGAAGCAGCACAGGAAGCAGCACAGGCAGAGGTTCTCTGCCTCTACTGCCCTCTTATGTAGGAAAAAAATTTTCTCCCAGAAGCCCCCCTACCGCCACCAACTTCCCCTTACATCTCATGAACCAGAAGACACTCATCTTTCTGCCCTTAGAACCAGGAGCAAGGCCCACCTTTCCTGAGTTTAAGTGACCTCTGCCTGGTTTTGCTAACAAAGAAAGAAAGAGTAGCGGCTTTGTGGCAAATGACAGCTGCCACAGAAGTGTCCTCTGTAATCTACAGTGAGGTGACGCAACAGGCCAATGCTTTATTCCACTGAGGGGCCCCCTGCCTGCCTGCCTGCCTGCCGCCGCCCTCAGCTGAAATTCAGTTCCCTCCATCTACAAGGCTTCCTTCTTTTTTCTTTTGTTAACGCATATTTTTTCTTAAGCTAACCATACTAAGTCTGTCGACTGAACTGAAGAAGTACTCAAACTTCACCCAGGACTGTTCAGGTCTGCCCCCTCCCACTCATGTATAAAAACTAAGTCCATGGGGAGAAATGCCAGATATAGGTGAAGGGGAGGAAGGCAGCAAATCACACTGCCATGTGTGTACCTATGCAACAATCTTGCATGTTATTCACATGTACTCCAAAACCTAAAATGCAATTAAAAAAAAAAGAAAAGAAAAAAACTAAGTCCAAATAGAGCACGCCGAGGTGCAGACAGAAACGTGCTGTGCAGAAAACTGCCATTCCCGCACCGGCCTGTACCGGGGCTGGAAACTGCTCTCACCAGGGTCACCAGGGGAGCCATCCTGTTAACGGAGCTCCAGGAACTCACTGGCAACTTAGACAAGGGGCAGGTGGAGCCTGACAGAAATGCCCTCCTCAAAAACAGGAAGGTGCGAAACCCATTTGCAGAACTCTGAAAATGTCACGTGTCTGCTTGCACCTCGGTCAGGGTTAGATTGGATTTCACATTTCACTGCAGTCGGCCCCTGGAGGCACCGCGGCGGCGGGAGCAGGCGGCGAAGGCTACAATCCCAAGGCAGACCCTGCCGGTCTCGATTTCCTAATCCCTCTGTGCTTCATCATCCTTAACTGTAAAATGGATGTAACAGTGGAATTTAGCTCACAGCATATTTTTTGAGAATTAAAAGACATAATACATGTTAAGGGAGCAGAAAAAATCTTTGCTCAATGAACATCAATGCGTTAGCAATACTGGTAGCAATGATACCAGCAGTAGAAACAAAACCAGATGTTCTCCCTGTAACGGCCAGGATTGATTTAATGACTTAAAGGTACTAGCAAATCAGTCTCCTTGTCGCCTCAGTCCAGAGCTTGAAAGTCTAGTTACCTTCTCCCTAAACTGACTCAGCAATGAACAATCACCCCAAACAATGAACATGCATAAAAAGTAGAACATCTGATACCATCCAATATCTTGTTTTAGTTCCATTTTATTCTGGGCATATTTTTTGTGAAATATTCCGAGAAATCAAGAGAATGTAAATACCATGTATCCACATTTTAAATAAAAGAATAACAAAATACCTACGTACCCATCCCACAGTTTAAGAAATAGAATAAAACCAGTCTTTGAAGCTGTGCATCCTTCTATGATTCCAGGCGCCCAACCTTAATACTCAGGTATCCAGCAATCTGAATCTTAGCACCCCAAACTTAATACACAGGTAACCAGCAATCTGAATCTTGAATTAATCCTTCCTTTTCTTCTTTATTTTTTTTTTTAATTTTTTATTTTTGAAACAGGGTCTGGCTCTATTGCACAGGCTGGAATGCAGTGGCACGATCTTGGCTTGGCTCCTGGGTTCAAGCAATTCTCCTGCCTCAGCCCACCAAGTAGCTGGGACTACAGGCATGCGCCACCACACCTGGCCAATTTTTGTATTTTTTTTTTATAGAGACAGGGTTTTGCCACGTTGTCTAGGCTGGTCTCAAACTCCTGACCTCAAGTGATCTGCTCACCTCGGCATCTCAAAGTGCTAGGATTACAGGCATGAGCCTCTGTGCCCGGACTCCTTTGTTTTTCTTTATACTCACATACATATGCATATCTAAGCAATAAATCATCTAATTTTCCTTTACTAAATTTTATGTCAATGAAAATATAGAACAGGTAGGTATTCTTCCGTAACTTGCTTTTTCATTAAGCATTTGTTTAGTTTTATCCATGTTTACCCCCGTAATTATACTTCAATCATTTTCATTATTATGTAATAGTATTCTAGTTTAGGAATATACCACTATTTATTTACCCATTCCCCTGTTAACGGATATTTGCCTTGTTTCTAGTCTAAGACATCTCACCTGAGGATGGGCTTCCACAGATCCTATTTAGGGTAACCATATAACTTACTGTCCTAACTGAGACACTCATGAGAAGGAAAAAGAATGCTATTAATAATTACAAGAGGACAACAGACATAAACAAGTAGACTGTATGGTCACCTTAATACACACTTAATATGTCTCAGGATTTCTTAATGACACCCCTAAAGAGCGGACTGGGACACTGAAGCCCAACTCTCCTTAACTGATGGTGACTTCACATCTCAAATTGCTGTTTGTTAGCTTCTGCGTTCACAGTAGAACCCTTAAGGAAAGCCCAAACAATTAATTACTCTTTCTACACCAGGAAGAAGTAAAACAAATTCTTAAAGAGATAAGACAGAAAAATGCACAACTTCCCAGATTCTGCTGTCTCTGACTTTCACAGTTTATCATCCCTGTCTGAAGAAAATTCTATCTCCAATGATAACGGAGCAAAGAGAAAGTGTAAAAGGCCTTACAATCTGAGTCCTTCTCCTGAGTCAAGACAGAGCTCAGGGCCCTGCACCCACTGCCTCCTTTCATCTTTGCCACAGCCCTGTGCGGCAGGTGTGGGAAATGAAGCTCAGAGCTGCAGCGACGTGTCCCAGGTCACAGTGCACGTAAGTGACAGAGCCTCAGTCACTGTGTCTAAGTACGTGGTCGTATGTGACACAAAGGAGGACATTTCTGGGAATAAAAGGGGGTGCTTTAACAAGTGCCAGGAAAACAGGTGTAATTTGCCCCAGGAACACCAGGACGTGGGACACCCTAGTTCTGTCTAACTTCACCATAAGCACTTATTTTCCAAGTGCAGATATCAATGATTTGTGGGACTGACGAGACGTGTAACCCAAATCTCTAGTGTTGACACTGTGTTGTATGGTGACATGCTGCCCTCACAGAGGTCACAGGGTGTGCGCAGTCCCCTACCCCTTCCCCTCAGCGTACTTCCCATGCCCGGCGGCTTCCCAGTGGCATCCTTCCATCCAGCACAGCAGCCTGGAAAGGATCATGACTCGCTTCCCTGAAATTCATAATTAAACTGGAGAAGCACTCTTCCTCCCAAAGCAGCTCCTGCTGGTGGCTGCCAGCAGCAGTGTTCTGTCACACTGGCTGGAGCAGTCCTCTTCCACGAGGCTGTGCCCACATTTTCTGACATGGGGGATCTGTAACACTGTCCTTCGGCAGGGCCCCTGACACCCTCAGCCTCGCTCCTTTCTCCATATGCGTGTGGTCTCCATCTCACACACACAAACACACACGATAGTTTTTTTAAAAGAAATATTTCAGCCAGCCACTGTGGCTCATATTTGTAATCCCAGCCCTTTAGGAGGCCAAGGCAGGAGGACTGCTTGAGCCCAAGAATTTGAGACCAGCCTGGGCAACATAGTGTCTCTACAAAAAAAAAAAAAAAAATTTAATTAGCCAGGCACGGTGGCATGCACCTGTAATCCCAGCTACTTGGGGGCCTGAGGTAGAGAGAAGAAATATTTCAGATATGGAAAAATAGAGAATTATATAACAGCATCCTCTGGGCCTGAGCAAAAATGTTCCAGCCAGGTGTGGTAGCTTGCACCTATAATCCCAGCACTTTGGGAGGCTGAGGCTGGAGTATAACTGGAGCCCAGGAGGTTGAGACCGCAGTGAGCTACGACTGTGCACCACTCCAACCTGGGTGACAGAGGAAGGAAAGAAGGGAAGGAGGGAGGGAGGGATGGAGGATGGAAGGAAGCACAGAAGGAAGGACGGAAGGACGGATGGAAGGAAGGAAGAAAAAAAGTTCTGTTCCCAACCACAGCATTTACAGTGGCCCCAAAGGAGGAATAAATGTCCATCAATAAACAGCAAAATGATAAATTGTGATACAATCACACACATAAAATATCATGCAAAAGGAATGCCGTCCAGTTAGAAAAATGCAGAAATTGCTGCTACACACAATAAGGTAATCTCATGATCAATATATTAAAGGCAAAAACCAAAAACGATAAAGAATATGTACACTATGATTTCATATATATAAGTTTCAAAAATAG